CGTTTTATTTTGTCATTTATTTGCGTGAAGCCTTGAAGTTTCGTTCTGAACAGCCCAAATGAGATCAAAATCCGTAATTGACAACCCTTAGCGAAATGACGAGTGGGGTTGGGGTGTGTTTCATTAACGCGGAAGATGTTAGTATGTAAATAAAGGTAAAGTATGCATACGAGTGGCCTATCTTGCCGAAGCCTATCCCGGTTTCAGTGGCATGAAGCGACTAGGGGTATTTCTATTCCTCCCTGGATGGGATGCTAATCTATAGCAGGGTTACCCCCAGCATTAAGTTCGTCAGTACCCATTTATACACCTGGGTGCATGGAGAGAAGCACTGTGAGAGTAAAGTGTCTTGCCCAAGACCACAACGCGATGTCCCCGGCCAGGGGCCCGTTTCTCGAAAGCTCGGAAACTTTTCGTGCCCGGAAAGCCATAGGAATTTGATTAACTATTTACATCTAAACTTTCCTTCAAAACGTTGGAAAAACGATCGAGAAAAACGTCGCATTTCGTAGACGACCGACAACCACTGTACTCTAATGGCTGATAGTGCACGAGTAGCTCAGCCAATCAGATTGCAGCATTTGCATTAGTATACTAGTAGAATTCTACTAATAATTAACAATTGGAGTATAACCTAAAGATTTCCACGAGGAGATAGTCGATGAGGCCGAAGGCCTCATCGACTATCTCCTCATAGAAATCGAGCGAGAGTGAGTAATGTATCTGTTTTAGTAGAATTCTAACTGGGATTTCCTTCAAACAACGATTACAATTATTTCTGGTCATAGTATTAAGCTTCACTCTTTAGAGAATTCGCGTGGACTGAATTACTTGTCAAAAATTGCGAGCTTTTTTAATTCAAGAAACCGTAAATGGCCTCCTTTTAGTCTTCTCAGGAATTTAGTTAATACATTTGTTTCTTAATGTTCTTCAGCGAGGGAACGTTGTAATTTTGTTGAGCACACCAGGCCTCTGCACACTAATAGCTGATATTATGCAATGGCTCAGCCCATCAGATTAAAGCAATGCATTAGTATACTAATAAAATTCTACTTAAGCTTAATAGTTGATGAGGGCACAAGCCCCGGAGTCAACTATCATGCATAGAAATCTAGGGCGAAAAATCTAACTGTTTTAGTATGAATCTACTAGTCGTTCAAAACTTTTATCTAAATCCTCTTCACAGACACCTCGAAAATGCAAAGAAGCGGCTGTCATTTTGTTAACAAGCGCACACTGCTGCGCTACTCACTATCTACAACAGAATAGATAGTGAGTAGCCTAGCCAATCAGAGAACGCCATTCGTGAAAGGACGTTAGTAGATTTACACTAAAACAGAATTGATGGTGTCTAGCGTAGCCAATCAGCGAGCGGCATTCGCGATAGAAAGCTAGTAGACTCGAGAGAAGCATGGACTAAATATTCCCTATTTCTTTTATAAAACACTCCGAGAAAGGAAGGGAAACTCACTCTTCATTGTCATTATCAAAACGTAAATTCTCTTTGCTTGTGCCATCATTACATCGACAGCTCATGCCCTTGCTTTTCGCTGCCAGCTAAATAACGTAAGAAAACATTAACATATTTTTGAGATTCGACGAAATAACTACGTATTTTCGTGGAGGTTCGGCGACGATTTATGGAATTCCATCTGCCATGAAACCCCATCTGGACTTAGCGCGTGTCAGACTTGAAACACGAATGTTTATTTGGAAGGTTAAGTGCTTCAGTAAACTTTTGAGGCAAGCGAAAGCCGGAGAGGTGCTTAATACAGCTAGTTCCCCGTTCTACTCAGACAGGTCAGAGAGTTATGGCTACAAGCTAAAAGTACGTATTGATCCAAATGGTGATGGGTCCGGCAAGAATACTCACCTGTCGATGTTCATCGTCGTCATGGAAGGTGAATATGACGCCATGCATATTACCCTGGCCTTTCAAAATTAAAGAACGTGAAGTTTACATTGATCGATCAACAGGAAGATCCAGCCCAGGGGGAAAACATTGCGCAGTATTTCATACCAGGTGATTACCCATGCTTCACAAGGCCTACGAGTAACGAGAACAGAGCTGGGCACGGGTTTCCCGAATTTATATCTCACGAGAAACTTCATTCAAGGCCCTATATTGTGGATGACACTCTGTTTCTCCAGGTTGAGATCAGCCCGTCATCCAGTTAAGGTTTACACGCTCGCCCTTTTCACGGCTGAAGACACGAAGAACGTAAAAAAGCCAAACGTCCAGTGTGGCTCTGATGATTTCAAAATAATTAAAAATGAGGAATAGATCAAACGTTCCCAAAAAATCCCTTTAGGGAATGCTCCAGTTTTCAGTTACCTCGATTTGGTACGACTTACAACAGAATTTTCATAACTTGAGCTTTAAATAAAACTAAGTTCAAAGTGTTTTCTAAAAAGTTTCCTTTAATATTCAGGTCTGTTTTCACAAAGGAGCAGAACTTTCCAGATCACGTTATTTAAGCTTCACGTTGCATTACAACAGTTGTTTCGTTGTTATTGTTCAAGGTGTTGCTGAATTATTGATTGATTTTTCTAAAGCAGTGCATCATTAGGTTGAGATTATTATCAGAAGATTAATTGTTGGTGACAGACATTTTAGATTCTTAAGGCTGGGGCTTAGTTTCCATGGAATTTCAAAGTGAGAATTTTTAGAAATAAAAACAATATTTCCATCATTTAACATGATGAAAGGGTACCTGATACCGTTGTCCTAGACTTGGCACAAGTCGACCTCATTAGTTTCAGGGTGGAATAGCGACTGTAAGCGAGCGAACTGAGCTGCGAAGTTTTAGGCTGCGAAGTGGCGTTATGATCGTCGCGAAGCGGCCGAGTGAGCGGATTTGAGAGCTCATACCACCTTGAACGCCTAAATATAGGAGTGGCCCGGGTTGTTCGAAATGTAGGTGGATAAAGGTATCCACCGGATAAATCACAAGGCTAGGTTTATGGTTAGTGATCAAGTTTGTCCGGTCAAGATGATGGGATATTGGCCACTGAGTTCTTTTTCTTGCTTGTTTATGGACCAAGACGGAGTAAATGTCATAAACACGCGAAAAACGAAACAGGCCAGAGTGCGGCCACACGCTTGGTCAGGAATTTATTATATGAAAAAGAGCACTATTCCCATGCAGGACACAGCGGGTAATCTCGAGCGGGCAAGATAGCACCTTCTTGCCCGCTAAAGTTGCCAATCACAACGCAGATTCAGTTCACCTTGCTCGATCACGGAGCTAGCCCGTATAATGATAAGAATTATTATGGAACAAAAACTAGATTTTGACTTATACTATAATTTATAGATCGACTGACGTCAAATTAGACTACGTGGGTGCCGTCAATTTGGAGATAGTCTTAAGTTGCCGGCTAGAGCTTCCATTAGGTCAAGCTTAAAGTTGCCTTTTACAATTATAAGCCGTTGGTTTGAAATGACCCTCCAACTTCTATCCAATGAATTAGAGACACTACATTGAGAACACATCCAGGTGTTACACCATTACTCAGGAAACAAAAGACAAGGTGGAGGCTTGTGCAATCTCCTGGTAATAGGCTAATGGTATAGATACATCTAGACCAGAGTCCTCTATAAAGCCAGAATATTGGTTGGACTTGAGTGACTTACCCCCTATATACATAAAAAATAAAAAAAAATGAAAATGAAAATGAAAATCTTATTTATAGTGGTCATGCACTTAGCTATACAATGTAGCACTAAGCTCAGCTAGCTCACAGGCATGTGACTGGGTAGATATCAAGCTGACTCTCAAGCTCAAGTTCTGTGGTACGAAACATGTTGCACACTAAAGCTTCCACAAGAGCGTTCACAAAGTCCTCGGCGTAACCTGAAGGTAGCCGCGTATTTCTTTCGCTGACGAGGAACAGCATATTTTTTTTGCACAATTACATTGAAAACTATTATAATTCCGCTCAAAGTTGGAGCGATAAGTTCAAAAGTTATTTACTAAAAATCTACTCACAGCACGGTAACTTAAAAAAAAAAAATTATGTAGGTGGGGTTCAGAGCCACCTTAAATCTTCGAAAATTTAAGGTGGCTCTGAACCCTACCTACAGAATTTTTTTTGAACTTTGCCAAAAGTTGCGTCTTATGCTTATCAAAAGTTGATAATATAAAAAAGATTCACCGTGCCTTTTTTTAATTATAAGCCCCTAAAGCTGTAACTAAGGGTGTTTTTAGCAGGTCATACGATTGCTATGGTAACCTATTGTGATACGAAAATGATACAACGTGTTCACCAACGACTGGGCAGTTTTTTGATACCATGATTGTGGCATCAAGTGTTAAAGAGTGGATATAACAATCCATCATATTCTAAGTGCTAAAAACTGTTTTGAGCCACCTTAAGGCGTGTGTTATTGTGTTCTTAACTAACGCGAAACGTTTGTTTTAATTGAAATATGGATAACTTCAATTTTCTCTCGTGTGGTCAGCCTGAGAGCTTAAGTCTCGATACGTTGTTCTAAACTGTATTCAAAATTTCAAAATATTACCGTGCCATGAGGTTTTTTTCGGTAATGTCGAGAATATGATTGCGTAATAAGCGTGTGACGCTGTTAATATTTACTTAGAACGGACAAGAGAAAGTAGAGCTCTTTTTGTACACGTGGATCGAGTCGAGCGAGCAAGCAATGGAAAATTTATATCGAGAGTGAGTAGCGTTGAACTTGATGTAAGCTTGTATCGAGAAATTTAATCAGAACATTAAAGCAATTCACAACAGTAATTTAATTTTCGCCATTATTGCTCGACTGTTCTACGGAAATCATCTTAACATGCCTTTGACGTCAGGACAATACAGTCTTTCCCGCTTGCTGAATCCTGATTGGTCAATTCAAATTTCAGGTGCGCCGGCCGTAATTCAAGGTTCTCAGCTTTCGCGCTAGGTCCACTAGGCCTCGATGTTTCGCCTCGGTCAATCGTCTTCGCATCACGAGTTAAAGTGTTGCCGAAGTCAATTGACCGAGAGACTTGGCAAGTTGTCAGCCACCACTTGTCGCTCTCGAACAGCGGGGTGGCTCTGTAAGCAAGCTACGCTTTTTCTCTAAGAAGCAAGAGACTGGGAGAAAGGGGAGCGATTTTCCCTCTTATTTCACCCGTTTCACCATCATCCATTTTAAATGCGCGGGAGACTAGCTTTCACTTCCGCGCGCATGCCCTGGAACAGACCTGCTACAGAGTTCAGGGTGGAAAAACGTATTGCGCAGTTTTCTGCACATCCCTAGCTCTATTTGCAGGCTAAGGTAATAATTAGGACGGAAATGGTCGTGTTCGCGCTTCGTGTTCACCTCAGCACAAGCTTAAAACCCCAGTGTGCACGGACAATTTTCGTAACGCCGCCACGAATTTTTTTATGGTGTCCAGTCCACGCGCGCCATGCATAGTCTCGCCGATCACACAACGACCGCACGCATGGGGAATGTTGCGTGACATCCCGTCACTGACGTCAGCGGGAAATCACCACACAACCGATTGTCCCGTGCAAAATGGCGGAAGGTGGGAGAATTACGCGGCGACCTTCAGGTTTTACCGAGCACTTTTTGAATGCTGTTGAGGATGATTTACAGTGTTCAATATGTCATTTGCCGCTTAATAAGCCTGTTTTGACAAGATGCGGTCACAGGTTTTGCAAAGAATGCCTCGGGGAACATTTTAGAAGGTTGGTTCGTGATACGCCAGTTGAAGATACCAGTTTGGAATGTGATTTCAGTTCAGCAGCTGTGTGGTTTCGTGATTTATGGGCAAATTTTCAATAGAAACGTAAAAATTGGAGAAGGCGCAAACACAAAAGTCTTTAAAAGCACAGAAAAGCGATCGTCCCGTGTTGAATGCAAATGCATGTCCTTTGTGCACTGTTATGATTCTCCCAGCAGGGGAAGGGATAGGGGTGTTTACAAATATTCGAAAGCCCTCTTCACGGTTGTAACTTTTTCATTTGCATTACAGTATAACTGAATATAATCATGCAAGCATGTGAGGCAATTTCGGGCAGTTTTGCAGCTTGTGAACGAAAATGCATCCATCCATATGCATGTTGGATTACATTGTACATGAAATGCAAAAGAGAAATGGGCGACGTTGTTATGTCAAAATATTTCTAACTTGGCTCCAAGGCTTGGGGGAATAAAACAAAATAAGTTAATTATTCCTGCAAAGGTTTCTTTCAGTGATTTCATTTGTTTTGTTCCCCCAAATATATTGAAAATGGCCTGTCGTTATATGAAAGGAATCATTAGGGTTGGGGGACGGGTTAGGCAATTTTTCTTTTAGGCAATAATTTTTCCCAATTCCAGGCTGGGCATGATATTTTCCAGATTTGTTCCCCATATAATTTTCTTTTTCTTGGCTCAGTTTGCACAAATATTCTTTGTGTTTTTCTTGTTCAGGTACTTTTTGGGTACAAATTGCCCACATGACACTCCCATCAAAATTTAATTGGTCTGTGATCCTTTATAACGTGGTAGTACTTTTAGATATAAGCCACCTGCAGCAACAAAGACAAAGCGTATTTATCAAGAAAAGAAATCTCTATTTGCTGTCTTGCCTCCTTGGTCGAATTCTTAAATAAAGAGAAATCGTCATTACTAAAGCTTGTAGAATAATTAAAACAAACAAAACCATAACATATGCTGCGATCTACTCCTTTTCATTCCAAGATAAATTTAAGCTAAAGCTTTAGCTTTGGACGTGTCCTTAACACAGTCTGTCAACATTCTAGAGACATTTAATGTGGACCACTACAGATTTTATAAGATTCTGCATGCTCCTACAATTTCCACATCTTTTGATTTTCCTGATCTCGTAAGGGGAGGTTGATGTGTATCATTTCATGTCCAAACATAGTTCAGATCACTAGGTGCTTTTTTGTCAAGATTCCTTGTCACACCTCGTCATTGATGCGTCATCATGCATGAAGTTGTAGATAAATCACTGCATAAAATATGTCACTATCATAGTATGTGCTGTAGCATTACTATCTTTTAGGTACCCTGGTTCTAACTGGAATATTAAAAATTTGCATTTGATAATGGCAACAGGATGACATTGAAAGTTTATGTTCTTGCATTAATTTTCTTTTAAAAATATCTTTTGGATATCTTTTATATTTTTACCCAGTTTATTTTACTTGTTTTATTAAAAAAAAAAATTTTCTATAGACACTTTTTTACAGGCAGGGAGAAAGTGGCCAACATTGCAACTGTCCTACAGACAGAATAGACTTGGATCCTGCCCAGGTAAATGACCTTAAGAGCTGCGTATATTTTTGCAGGACATTTGTTACAAAATGATTCAAGGGAAACAGTACATAATGTAATAAACTTGTTAACTCCATAAGCTGTACAGTAGTAGTACTTAGTTACCCATCAAGCTAGGAGTCTGCAACACAGCATGAAGGCACACACCTGTGGGAAGCAGCTAGGAGTACATCAACCCCTACCCAACTCTCCCCATATGGGATGCTTGAAGTCCATTACAAGGTTACTCCCCTGGAATTAATTTTTCAGTGTACATTTATACACTTGGGAAGAGCAAAGCACTCTTAGAAAAGTCTCAAGTGCCTCACTTAAAACACTGAGAAGTGTCCATTGTTTGTAAGATACTGAGAAAATAGTGAGTTTTTCATCAGGGCAGACAAAACTTTCCATAATTTGAATGGATGTCAATATTAAATAACTGCCGGTGGAGCAGGTTCCATTTTGTTTTAATTGAATAAGATTTTCTTTTTCCTCCGTGCAAGTTAATCATCTTTACAGTTTTTCTTTTATGTTAATTGCTTTTAGGATGTCTTCCCTGACAAAGCAACAGAAAGGAAGGTTCTTTCTTTTGCCATCAAATGTCCAAGTGAGGGTTGTGAATGGACTGGTGAACTGAGGAATGAACAGGTACTAATTGGAAACTCTATTATTAAGAGGACACCATTGAAACAACATAATAGCTGTAGAATAGACAGATGTTCTCAAATTATTTTAAACACACGCATGAAAGGAAAAAATTCTTAAAGTGCACACATCTATTTAACTTGCAAAAGTACTCTCTCAACAGAGTTTGTTTTAATAATGTTATCAGTTGTTAACTTAAACTTACATGTAACTCATAAAAGTATTTAACTGCATGGTAACTTGACACTCGACTGTTCAATATAATGTTAATGCTAATGACAAATTATGTATTATTACATTTAAATTTCAATCCACAGCGTATAATTATTTGAAATCTGAGAGCTCCATCTTGAATAGCAATATTGGTTCTGAATAAATTACAAAATTTAGAGAGGAAGCCATACACCTGTATCAGTCTTAACTGGTTTTCATTCAAGTCCTCTATCCTGGTCGAATTGGAATTTGGAAATGTTGGCTTATGTGAAGGAAGGGAACCAGAGAACTCAGACCAAAACCCTTGGAGCAAGGCAGGAACCAACAACAAACTCAATTAACACACATGGCACTGGGCTGGAATTGAAGCCAGGCTGCAGTCATTGGTGGGAGGCAAGCGCTCTTGCCACTGAGCCATCCCTGCTTCCATGTATACTGTACACCAGCACATGTATTAAACTTGGTAGCATTCTGGATATTATTTGTATATAACAGGGAGAAACTGATAGTTTGCAAGTTAGAACTAGGAGTTAATTGATTAGCCTGATATCATTTAGTGGTGACTGGTCATGAGATAACCAAAAACTTCAAGTTTGAATTTTGATATGATTGTTTATTTGATGATCGGCTCAAGGATTTCACAAGTCAAGTATTAAATCAAGAAGGATATCTCCATTTATACACATTGTGTTGTCTTCTTTAAACAGCGAATTGTCATTGTGCTGGAAACAGTAAATAATCCGACTGACTACAGTATGAACACCTACAGTCATACAATATAATCAGCCGACTGTAAAAGTACATTACAAAAACTTATCTCACATGAGGCC